AGTAGAGCAGCGCGGCGGAGAGTTCAGGGGAGCGACTGGAGAAAAATTCTCCAAGCTCAATTCTTCAGCCCTGGTGATCCAAAAATCCCGTAAGTAATGCCTAATTCATCTATGCGTCGTGATGTATCGATTTAGAGCTTTAAAACGAGATTTTGGTTCTGGAATTTCTTGAATTCCCGATAAGCCAAATTAGGGTTTCGGAGTATCCGGAAGCCGGATTGAGCCCAAATTTCATATACGAGCTTCCTGCAGTGAGGTAATCAATCCTCTAGTTCTAATCCCTGAATTTCGGCTATTATTTAGATCGGAGCCAAGATCGCTGAATTTAGCTCCGGCCAGGGTTTGATGTGTTTTTATCGAGAATTTGACCCGGAGCCCAGAACTAATATTGACGGGGATACTGCAGGGGATATTAGGACGGTCTCGGATTTTAATTCGGGGTTCGTTCGTGAAAGTGACGTTTTAGTACGGGAAGGTTAAACCGGTGTTTGAACGACCAGAACTGGTGAGGGATTAGCACGGCATACCGGGTTTGTCGTATCACGATAATTATATTGATGCTTAGAATTGATCTAGGTGAACTAGAATGGCATGATTAGGGGTGTATGAACTTTTGTGCTATATGTTGAACCCTGGATTGCTGTATGATATTATTGACTTGCCCTAATCGATATGAACCTTGTTTATGCTGATGATTGCATATATGTTGCAAATTGTGGGCTTGACTGTTAATATGCCTTACGATGGTTCGAAAAGGTGATTGGGGATGATTTTTCATGATTGTTGTATTTGGATGCACATGGGGGAAATATATATTCCCTAGTGATATTATGATGTTTAAGGAGGATGATTTGCACGAGGGTTTATCCCGAGGAAGTGCAATTATACGACTCCTGATTTACCTATGTTGAGCCAATTGTGGCCTGGTCAAGTACATGTGCAAGTAACGAATTATGATTAAGCAAGATGAGATATGAATCATGTATAAGGATACCAAATATGAGTGTTGTGGTCTCACGGTCAACTACATAGTAATTAGGGCTCCCTATGCTATTACTCTATTATGATATGTATGATAGTCACACCTCTCATGTGGTGGTGACTGAAGAATTCTTACGAGATATGACCACACCCAAAGCGGTGTCGGGGTATGACTACACCCATAGTGGTGTGGGGTATGTATGACCACATCCGACGGGATGTTGGGGTATGTATGACTACATCCGACGGGATGTGGGGTATGTTTCCCGGGAGAGTTATTAGCATGGGAGTAGCCAGGCGCCTATGATTAAAACATGATAAGATGCATATGCATAAGTCAAGGTGGTTGAGTCTTTTGCCTATTGGGATATGAGGATGGCTGAGGTCCGATCCTAGTGTTTTGGCTTGATTGTTAGATGTATGATAGGGGTATGCTATGTTATGAACTCACGATGCTATGATTATCTCACTCAGCCATGAGCTGACCCTCTTTTATTCTTCTTCTCTGCTTATGCCATGTGTAAGCAGATCATCAGCAGTAGCAGTAGATAGGTGTATAGGTGAGAGCTGAGCAAGAGTTGAAGGCAGGATGAGGTATGGTCTTCAACTATTCTGTGCTTGGACTACTACTCGGGATTTTGGCCAGTGATCCACACCTTTTTGTAAAAATGTTTTGAGAACGTTTTTCATGTGCATACTAGCTTCTGATGTAGTGTGAGAAATCCACAGGTGTGGAAAGTTGATGATATGTGTATATGCTGTGTAACTGTGTAAGTTGTGACGATTATGGTATGTATAAGTATGGTATGGAGTTGTGGAGTATGAAAAGTATGTCTATGGCTAAGAAAAGCCAATGCATATGGTTGTTATTATATATGTTTGTGATGAATTATTTTGCAGGATAAGTTGCAAGAACTGTTAGCCCATTACGCGAGTAATTCATGTCGCAATTTTATTTGGGTAAATTTTGATAATTAATGTAACGCCCGAGATTAATTCCGCTGCAATTGTATAAACAATATGATTAGGCAAAACGTATAGGGTAGGGTGTTACACATAGCCTGGCAGTCCTCCACCAGATGATTCGGGCTCTCACACCACTGACACTGAGCTACTGGAGGCGTAGCTGTACTTCAGCCCGGAATAAGACTGTTGGGCTGCTTCAATGTCTGCACCAACTCAGCCACCTGCTGCTCGAGCCCGTACCTAGCCTCCATGGCGTGCACACCACGGTCCCGGGAATTTCTGCATCTGCTGCTCTACCCCCAGGAGTGATCTCTGGCAGCCAAGGTACTGATCACCTGGTTCAACTCGGGTGGAGTCTTAGTGAGAATATCCCCTCCTGGGCATAGAGACTCAATCACCCTCTGGCTGTCCGGAGAGAGAGCACTGTAGAAGTTCCCCACTATGAATGTATCACTGACGCCATGATGGGGACACTGCCAGAAATATCCTATGTACCGCTCCCAAGCATCACGAAGTGACTCGTCTGGCTCTTGGCGGAAGTGAGTGATCTCTCGCTGGATCTCTGTGGTCTTCGATGCTGGGTAGTACCTGTGCACGAACTTGTCAGCCAGATCATCCCACGAAGTAATGGACAATGGGAGCTGGGTCTCCAACCACCTCTTAGCATTCCCCGCCAGAGAATGGGGGAAGAGGTGAAGGCGGATTGCGTCATCAGGGACACCGTTCAGCTTGAACCCTTTCGTCAGCTGTAGAAAACGGGACAGATGCACCCTTGCCTCCTCATCCTTCAAGCCATGGAACTGGATAGAGGATGTAATGAGTTGAATCCTGCATGGCTTGATCTCGAAGTTGTTTGCTGGAATGGGCGGATAGAGGATGACCGGGCGGATGTCAGCAATCCGTGGAGTGTAGTAGTACTCCAAAGTGGGACCCGGTGGTGGTGGGTGATGATGAACCCCATCTGCCTGGGGTATGGGGTTGTTCCCCAAGAGCTGATTCACCGGGGGAACCTGGAGAGGATTCCCCGGGGGTGGGTTGTGTTCTCCTTCCATCACGTATTCGTCCTCGGACTCGCTTCTCAAATGGCCTCTATGCGCTCCGCCGTAGAAAACGGGATTGCGTCAGAGAATGGGGGAAGAGGTGAAGGCGGATTGCGTCATCAGGGACACCATTCAGCTTGAACCCTTTCGTCAGCTGCAGAAAATGGGACAGATGCACCCTTGCCTTTTCATCCTTCAAGCCATGGAACTGGATAGAGGATGTAATGAGTTGAATCCAGCATGGCTTGATCTCGAAGTTGTTTGCTGGAATGGGCGGATAGAGGATGACCGGGCGGATGTCAGCAATCCGTGGAGTGTAGTAGTACTCCAAAGTGGGACCCGATGGTGGTGGGTGATGATGAACCCCATCTGCCTGGGGTATGGGGTTGTTCCCCAAGAGCTGATTCACCGGGGGAACCTGGAGAGGATTCCCCGGGGGTGGGTTGTGTTCTCCTTCCATCACGTATTCGTCCTCGGACTCGCTGCTCAAATGGCCGTCTATGCGTTCCGCCGTAGCCAGTCTAGCTCGCTGTTGTCTCCTGAGTTGGCGACAGGTGCGTTCAATCTCTGGATTCAACGGCAATAAACCTCCCGACTGGCTACGGGTCATGCACTACCTGCACACAATCAAGCAAGCAAACCCGTGAATGCACAAGTGGGAAAGAACAAACAGTCAATGCAAAAACGAAAGTGCTAAAGTAACAGAAATCACTTTTCTTCAACAACCTAGCCGTCCCCGGCAACGACGCCAAAAACTTGACTCACTCCTACTGTCACCCTAGAAAATGGACAAGTGAAACCACTTCCTAAGGCGTAGTATAGCGGGTTTGGGTTTTAATGTCAACCCGGGTCCTAGATTTGATGACTACTCGGTGAATTCTTGTTATCTAGCAATGAAACTTTAGTGCAGGTCCAAATTAACAAACAAACAAAGCAAGTAAATGGTTTTTTTCAGGTTAAGAGAGGTCACCCGGATATGGTTCCCCCTAGACTGCAGTTAAGCTGGATTGCAATTTACCAAGTTTAGTTTCCATGAAAGTTATACTGCGGAAGGTTCTTAAACAGCCTGAAGTCTCGACTAAAGGTCTTCAGACCCTCTCAATCTGAGTCTCCAGCGGGCGACTAACCTCCACCGGAGTAAACAGATTGAGGCCCTAACGAACCAAACCTCCACTACCGAATTGAATTCGGTACAGAATAGCGAATTGACTCCTTGACTAAAGTCGCCAATTCGCCACCTTCAATTAAGGGTGCTCTATCAACCTAGGCAGATATTCTCATTCTAGGTTAAAGTAGAAACAACAGGAATTTGATCAGGATTCAAGTCATTCAATCATTCAAGCCTCAGTCGAATATAATCAACTCATGAAATCTGTACTTGGGTTCATACAATCAGACCTAACATACAAATCTAGGGTTCTCCATACCCAGATGAATGGGAGAACTACTCCATGGAGAAAGAAGCAAAAGCAGATTCAGACGTGGAAATCATATTGTGAAGGATGGATTTCTGCTCCTGGACGTTGATCGGCACTTCGCCAAGCTCAAGCGGACTCCAATGGTGATGAAGATCAAGCTATGGCACTTGGGAACTCTTGTTCGTCGCTTTCTCTCTCTAGGAATCGCTCTGTCTCTCTAAAACTCCAATCCCTTGATTTTCAGCCTTCTTTTCCCTTAAAACTGCTGCCTGTCGCGATAACCGGTCGGGTATGTAGACACCGCATTTTGTCCGGGCAATTTACTAATTATGGGAATTATGGCACCAATTTAAAGGAGTATAAAACTCGCTTTGTTTTGGATTAGCAATAACAAATCTTAAACATCCTTTGTTTTGAACTTGTATCTTGGTGGCATGTGCCATTATTTTGTCTTTGATTAAACAAGGTTGACTTAGCGCAAGGTTAAACAAGTTTAGCAATAGCTAATTTTTGTCTATTTAATAAAGTTTTTATCCATCAACGTTTGTCTTTGAGAATTTGGACCTTGATTTTGGAATGATTAATAAAGGACAATAAAGGAAAAGAAATTTTATTAAGATTGTCATTAAAAACAGTTACCATTGTAATTACGAACTCATACACTCTCTTACCTTTAATTATTACTATAGTAATTGTCCAAATAAAAGACCAAAGTCCAAGCCCAACAATAATGCAAGTCAACAGGCCTAAATTGGATCAAACCCATATCACACTCAACCAAACCCAAAAGTCCAAGCCCAGTCATAATCGGGCTAGATCCAATCCGGGTCGAACTGGACTGGTTCAACCAGGCACAGGCCCAGCCCAATCCTCAACCAATCACAAAAATACAACTAACCTACCCTACTAGCCAATCAGAAAAATACACAAGCCTACCCTACTGTGGCGCTACAGTGAACTATCCTGTTATAAAAGAGAGGTCTTGGAGGCTAAGAGGAGAGGGGCGATCGACTTCAGTCTTCCTCTTTCCTTATTCACAGACGGCAAAAAGCTGCCAAAAACAGAGTAGCCACTTCTTATTCTTTCTTGTTTCTTCCTCCCCCTGAACAAAAAATACTACCTTTCTTCTTTCTTCTTCCTCACGAACAGGAGGACAAGAAATAGAGGGGCCGATCCATTTTCCTTGTTGTTCTTCTTCAACCTGGCCACTTCTACTTCATCCAAACTACTTCATCCAAACGAAACTCTGCAAAAAAACAGAAGAAGGGTCAGCTCTTCTTCTTCTCTTCCATTTCCCCATAGAACTCTTCTTCTTTTCACCTCCTCTTCTTTCTCTTCCCTCGCTAAAGATACACAAAGAGTCGAGGTAGGAAAAGAAACCACACTACCACACATAAGGAGAAGAGAAACAAGAAACAGACAGGAGAAGCTCTAAAAAGTTATCACTTTCACTTCTCTAGTCAACACCACAACCAGACCAGAGAAGAGGAAACAACAGCTTATCCCCTTCATCAATCATCCAAGAAAAGGTGAAAAAATATCACCATCGTTCTTCCATCACAAATCTAACTCCAAACAACTTACAAGATGGCAAAGTTAACATAATAGCAAAGCAATAGACAAAATTATATTTATTGTTTTCCTTTTAAGGCTCCCCTACTTGCTGTCTATATTTATTTTATCTTGTTAGTTTATATTTCCATGTTTTACAAGTGAAAGCCCAATCTAATGGAATATTTGTTTCCTTTCTTGCTTTAATCGCTTTGTATATTTATTTACCATAATCCATCATACAAAACACATAATTTCAATCTCAAAACCCGGTTATCCTCACACAATCAAACCCACACAGAATTACCACCAAACTTCCAATTTCGAAATCCACAATCCAATTCCAGTATTCATAACCACAAATGAACCCAGTTTCCCCAACCCACAATCAAATCACCATGAACACCACAAGATTTAAGAACTCAAACCCATATCACACGTACAAGTCCCAGTTTCAAAACTATATCAGATTCACAAAACCCAATATTAACCCCAACATAAACCTTTCGAAACCCACCTAATCAAATGATCAAAACTGAGTTTTTCAAATAAAGATGATGATGCTTGTGGATGCTCTCTGTTGTTGTGTTCAGATCTACTATTTGTTTGCAACTGTGGCTTTAGTTTATTCTGGTTCTTCTTAGTCACTTTAGCTACCAGATTTATATCTAAACCCATGGCAACCAAAACACAGATTTCAGAGACTGTAATAAACAAACAAAAAGGCTTAACCTAGAAAATCAGAAACCATGCTCCTGTTCTTTCTTTTGTTTTATTCCAAGGGCTCTCCTCTACATCTATACCCAGCCCTGATCTTTTCGACAAAAACTCAGAAGCATAAATCAGCAGTGACAACTAACCATTGAAGATCAAGACATCCTAATCCAAATAAACTTGTAAACTTAATCAAGAAAAGAAGTTTGGGAGAAATATCACCTAGGCTTTTTAATTAAAACCTGCAAATGAAAGAAAACAAAAATCAAAATACTAAACAAGCAGAAGAATAAACATTTGTGTCGGGTTTACCTAAATCGTCGCTTGTTCTCCGATTTGGGAGACTGTTAGTAGGGTCGCCGTGGCTATCGTCATCGATCACCAAACCGTTTTCGGTGGCGATGTCATCGGTCTTCCTCCATTCCCTTTTCTCGGCATTTGTATCCTCAGGAATCGAAACCCAGAAAACAAGCTAAATCTAGGTCAGAATCCCAGTAAAAAAAAACTGAACAAACCCGAAAAACAACATGCAAACCAAGAAAAACCCTTACCTTTGTCGCCACAGTCATCATCGTCATCGGCAACCAGTGCCGTCAGTTCCCACTGACGCCGACGCCATCGTCGTTCTCTTTCTCCTTGTTTATTCCAGAAAGGGGGAGAGAGAGGTTGTGAATCGAGATAGAGAAGGAACCAGCTTCCCTTTCTTTCCTGTCTATGCTCGCTGGTCTGTTGAAAGGAAAGCGCGAGAGATCGGATTGAGAATGGCGAGAGGGAGAAGGTAGGATAGGATTCACTTCGATTTTTCTCTCTGGTTCTGTTTGGTTCCTCAAGGAAGGAGAGGAAAGGGTAGTAAATGAAATTTCAGGGCGGCTCGGGTTAAACAAGAATGGGTAAGGGTTTTCTGGTTAGTTCTAACATAGCTGATATGGAATTTGACTAAAATACTCCTCAGTTCCCTTTAAAACTACCCGCTGCCACTCATCTCTCCTGCAAAACGAAACACAAAATAAAACTTGTCTCTTCTGCGTTTCGGTATATCGAATCTGCACAGTAAACCATAAGACAACTGCCTATTACAGCTAATTTTTTCTGCTTCTTATTTCCTCCGCAATTTAGCTTAATATTCAAACTTATATCAACTGCAATTAACTACATTTTTGGTTTGGCTTATTAACTACAGCTATTTAAAGCATTCTAAACATTAAAACGTTTTATCATTTTCCAAATTTTAGAGCATCCTCATTAATAACACACGTTTTTTATAGAAAAAACCCTTAACAATTCTTACACAAAATAAAATCTCTTAATACGAAATCATAGTCAATAGACCCCAATGATTTCATAAGTTGGAATTCCTTCAAATTCATCGATCACCCAATTACAAAATCAAAACACATTTCCTCATGAAAACCTCAGGCACGATCAATAGAATGTGCTAGGTTTTCACTTTCAGAATCGTTCATTTTAAAAAACGAACTACGGGGACTTTGATCCCGACTACTCGGGTACGTAGGCAACCAATAGCTTCGAGTCCAACTAATTTAAAAACTTTTTCTTTACGTTCGAGATTTACGTCAATAGACGTATGATCGAATTGTAATACTAAACACCTAATTAACTTAAATCATAAAATTAAATACATCAATAAAGCCGCAAATAATGAAACACCCAACCTTTAAAAAACTTATCGATTTACGTAGTACCCGTTTATGGGACATTGTGGGGTGTGAATACAATTCCCCACACGTAACCATACTCCCGAACCTAGAACAATCTAAAATTCGCAGACCAGAATTCTGGTTTTAACAAAAAAAAATTAAAACCGGAAAAGGGTGTTCGACCCACCCCAAAATATGGTCGATGGCGACTCCAAATCGGTTGGCGAGCGATACCCCGATTTTCCGAGGGCGGTTGCGACAGGGTATTTTGGGTCTCGACCGGGTATTATTAAAACGCGCGTTTTGCTTCAGGGAAAAATCCCCGGTCATGTCCAATAATCCCCGACCGGGGATTTAAGCTTCACGACCGGGCCCCCCTTTGTTTCTCACGGGTGCCAAAACAATAAATACCCGGTCGGGTATTTGAGCCCACGACCGGGTATTTTCCTCCTACATCACACTTCGACCCAACTTCGCTCCTTTCGACCCAAAACTCGTTTCCTCGCCTCGATTCCAACACCGGGTCCTGAAATATCACATAAACACACAACCTCGCGTGAAATCGGCTTAAACACGAGAGTCAACCTCTCAAACGGCTCAAGAATAGGGGTAAAAACATGTGTAATTATTGTCAGCACGCAAGATCAGTTTACCACTATGCACATCAATAAGTGCCAGACACAGAAAAAGTAGCTTGCTCATTCCCAGCACGCAAGATCAGTTTACCACTATGCACATCAATAAGTGCCTTGGCGGTTGCAAGAAATGGTCTACCCAAAATCAAAGTCACATCCACATCCTCATTTATATCCAGAATAACAAAATCAACAGGATATGTGAATGTGCCAACTTTAACAAGCAGATCCTCTATGATACCCCTAGGATGCACAATAGAGCGATCAGCTAACTGAATGCTCATCCTAGTAGAGTTAGGTTCACCTATGTCTAGCTTTTTAAACAGATAGTATGGCATGATCGCAACAGCTATCGCAACGGCGGCGACGAGATCTGATCGCAGCAGCTATCACAAAGGCGGCGACGACGGAGCGAGCTCCTGATCGCAGCTAAGACATTGACAATGGACGAGAATCGTGTAGATGAAGTTTCTGTTGGTTATGTAGATGCTCAACAACTCCTGCAAATTGCAACATCTTCTGACAATGCAACAGAAGGCGGATATCAGATAAAAACCTCTATTTCCACCAATAGTGGCAACAATGAACAAGAAGAAGGTACGCTCAACTCAATCCTTCTTGTTTTCTTACAATTAGCACCACAATCACGGGATTTTCCAGAAATAGCACCTTTAAAAATAATTACAAAAATAGCACCCATCCGTAAAAATTTACACTAATAGCACCCTTTTTAATAGAACGCACCTTATAGATGCGTTTTATATTTAAATCGCACCCTGATAGACCGTTATTTACACATGTTTTTACCCCTGTTCTTACACCGTTTGAGATGTGATTTCTCGTGTTTTAGGCCGATTTCACGCTAGGTTGTGCTTGTTTGTCATATTTCAGGTCCTAGTACGTGAATGAAGGCTTAGGAGCGATTCTGGGGTCGATTGGACGAAGAACAGACGAATGGCGAGGTTTTTGGGAGCTGCACGGGCAGACCAGAGGGGCTGCACGGCCGTGCACGGTTGCAATCTGGCCGTGCGCCTCATGCCGAGGAGCTGCACGGGCAGGCCCTGAAGATTGCACGGCCGTGCACCTGGCCGTGCAAGAAGCCTGAGTTCAATTAAGGGATACGCTGCGTTTCATGGTGCACGGCCAGACTGGTGAAGTGCACGGCCGTGCACCCTGGCCGTGCAACTCGGGAAACCCGGTTTTAAAGCCTAATCCGAGCCAGAAGTGAGAGGAGAGTGTTTTCAGAGCAAAAACAGAGCCCTAGAGAGAGAAAGTACGAAGAACACATCCTAGAAGCTGTCTTAGAGCTGGATTTCATCGAATCGAGCCTGGAGATCGTCATAGGAGTGAAAATCATCGTCCCGGAGCAGATTATCCTCATCGTTATGAGTATGACTAATCCGATTCCTGTTTTCTCTTCTCTCTCTATGGAGTAGAACCCTTCTCTCACTTGGGGATGAAGAACCCTAGTTCTATGTGTTAGGGGATTGATTGTAATGACTTGGGATGATACTACTGTTTGATTTTAATCGAATGATGCATGTTTCATGAATTGATTTGAGTCTGATCAGCTTGTCTCAATTTCTGCTTCAACCTGAGATAGATAGAATCTGATTAGGTTGTTAGAGCCTCTTCATTCGATAGTAGGAGGTTGGCTATACGAGAGTTAGCCAGTTTACTGCTTTGTACTGGTGTTCTTGGCGCCAGTAGTGGAGTTCTGTGTTCATAGCCTCAGCTTTCTATCCCGGTGAAGACTAGTCGTCTGCCGGGTAGTTAGACTGAGAGGGCTCGGTCAGCTTAAGAGATTCCAAGCTATTGTCGGATCTTCCGCAGTCTAATCAACAGTAAATCAACCCAGGGTAAATTGCAATTGAAACCTAACTAAAGAGCTAGGGGGATTCATTCCCGAGTGACTCTTTCCTGCTTAAGAAAACCGAATAATTTCCTGCTTTATTTCTGCTTTTAGTTTAAACAACAATCACTTACTCTAGTTGGCTAGATAACAGAGAATCACTGAGTAAGCAGTAGATCTAGACCCCGGGTTGATAATATAACTTGCCTGTTACTGCATTCCCGGTCTGCGATTACACTTGGTCGCAGATTGGTGTTGTGTTTTGGCGTGTCAAGTTTTTGGCGCCGTTGCCGGGGACTCCTCTAGGTTATTGGGGAAACGTGAGAATTTGTTACTCTAGCTTTTTATTTACTGCATTTTATCTCTTCCACCTGTGTGCCTTCACGGGTTGTTTCTGCTGATTGTGTGCAGGTAGTGCATGACCCGTAGCCAGTCGGGAGATCTACTACCACTAGACCAGGAGCTTGAACGAACCTGCAGAAACTTCAAGCGGGCTCTAAAGGCGCGACTGGCTGCGGAGGAGGCGCTATCACAGCTGCAGTTAGAGGAGGAAGAAGAAGAGATGGCTGAACCAGGGAACCATGATATGATCCCTGAGGAGCAAACCATGGGGTCCTACTGGACCGCTAGAGCTGCGGACATGAGGTCACCCATTCAGCATCCTCATGTCCCAGCCAACAATTTTGAGGTGAGCACCTCAGTAATCACCATGCTGCGCGGTTCAGTGGTGTTCCGTGGTAAGGAGGGGGAGTGCCCCCGATCACATCTCCGGCGATTCCATGAGCTCATTGATGGAATCAAGATCAATGGGGTACCCGCAGATGCCATCCAGCTGAGGTACTTCCCATTCACTCTGGAGGGGCAGGCCAAGGAGTGGCTAGACACTCGACCTCCAGGCTCCATCACTACGTTCGCCAACCTGGCGGACAAGTTCCTCACCCGCTACCATCCTCCATCCAAGACAGCTGACTTGCAGAAGCAGATCACCCACTTCACCCAGGACGAAGATGAGACCATCAGGGATGCTTGGGAGAGATACACCAGTCTTTTCCTCAGGTGTCCCAATCATGGTTTCAATGATGCATTTAAGGTGGGCACCTTCTATCACGCTCTCTTCCCGGAGGACAAGCAGCTGATTGATTCGGTTTGTGGCGGGAACATGCTGACAAAAACCCCACCACAACTGAATCAACTCTTTGAGGAGATGGCGGAGAATGGGTACGACTGGGGCACTGCCAGGAGATCGAGGCGAGCACCAGGCGGGGGTGTGCATGCTGTGGGCACCCAGTCATCTGATTTGGTGCAGGTGGTATCGAAGCTGGTCTCAGCTATCGATCGTTCTGGTTTGATTGCAGGTACAGGACAACCGCAGGTGATGCACTGCCAGTGGTGTGAGAGCTCCCATCACACCGTAGAGGACTGTCAGGCGATGAGGGAATCGTCTACTCCCCAGGAGCAGGTGGACTTTATCAGTAATGCCAGGCGCTTCGACCCCTACAGCAATACTTATAACGAGGGGTGGCGCCAGCATCCTAACTTTTCCTGGGCTGGGGCAAATCCCAAACCACCAGCTCCCCAGGGACCACCTGGCTTCCAGAGGCCTCCATACCAGCCCAGACAGGGGCAATTTCAGCAGCCACAGCAGCCACTCTACCAGCCCAGACAGGGGCCAGCTCCACCACAGTCGCAGGTGCGACCATTTCAGCAGACAGGAGCAGCACCTGCAGCTCCAGTACAGAGTGACCCGATGGCGGATTTGAGAGATTTGGTGGGTTCTCTGGCCACCTCCAGTGCGAACAAGTTCAATAACATCGAGCAATTCATGGAGAAAGCTTCAGGGAAGTTCTTGGAGCTAGAAGCTGGTCAGAGAAATACACAGGCTGTGCTGCGAGATATACAGACCCAGCTAGGGAGTGTTGCCCAGGCTGTAGCTCAGAGGACTCCTGGTACCTTGCCTGGTCAGACCATTCCTCATCCGCAGGATCCGAATGCCAACTGCAGTGCCATCACAACCAGGAGTGGCAAGGTGACTGCCGATCCGCCTGTTCGGGCAGAGGAGAGAGAGACCCCTGCTTCAGCACTTCCAGTTAATCAGGAAGAAATGGAGAAGGAGGTTGAGGTACCTGCTCCTAAACCGCAATCAGTGGTGAAGGAGTATGTACCACAGCTTCCCTTTCCTACTCGGTTGCACAAGGACCGACTGGAGACTGAGTTTGCCAAATTCATGGCAATGCTGAAGCAGGTAAACATTAGCATGCCCTTCGTGGAGGCATTATCGAAGATGCCCAAGTATGCCAAATTCATGAAGGATCTCCTCACCAACAAGAGGAAGCTTGGGGAGCTGTCAACGGTGATGCTCAACGAGGAGTGTTCTGCCATCCTGCAGAACAAACTACCAGAGAAACGAAAAGACCCAGGGAGTTTCACTATCCCTTGCATGATTGATAGTTTGCATGTAGGGAAGTCCTTGGCGGATTTAGGCGCTAGCATAAATGTCATGCCTTATAAACTGTTTAAAAAACTAGGCCTAGGTGAACCCAGTAATACTAGGATGAGCATCCAGCTTGCTGATAGATCTATTGTGCATCCTAGGGGTATAGCAGAGGACTTGATAGTCGCAGTAGGGCCATTTTCATATCCTGTTGATTTTGTGATTTTGGACATAAATGAGGATGTTGATGTGCCATTGATACTAGGCAGACCTTTTCTCGCCACCGCCAAGGCGCTGATTGATGTTAATGATGGAAAGCTGATTTTAAGAGCTGGGGGTGAACAAATCACCTTCTCTGTTTCTGATAATATGAAACACCCCCAGCTCCATGATGATCTTGATTACTGTGATGTTGTTGCTGATTTTGAGACCGCACTCGCCATCACGAGTGCGGGTACTGATGATTTCCTTGAGCGTTGTCTTTTGCTAGGGGAACAGGCATCACAGGATATGCAGCTGACGGAGCAGCTTGCGGAGCTGGACGAAGCTGCGAGCGCGGGGCGAGAGATGCCATTCAAGCCGATTCCCATCTCGCCCCGGCTCGCTACATCATTGGAGGAGCCGCCAGAGTTGGAGCTGAAACCCCTCCCATCTCATCTGGAGTATGCATTTCTCCGGGAGGGGAATAAGCTCCCGGTTATTATTAGCTCGGATCTGACCCCCGAGCAGAAGAGCAGGCTGGTGGCTCTGTTGCAGAAGTATGCCCGGGCCATGGCATGGAAGATCACTGACATCAGAGGCATTAGCCCATCCTTCTGCTCTCACAGAATCTTGATGGAGGATGAGGTTAAGCCAGTCAGGCAGCCGCAGAGGAGATTGTCTCCTAACTTGGAGGCAGTGGTCCGGGCAGAGATCGTGAAGCTCATGGATGCAGGGATCATCTTTGCTATATCGGATAGCAAGTGGGTCAGCCCCACTCAGGTGGTCCCGAAGAAAGGCGGAATGACTGTGGTCCCGAACGAGAAGAAGGAGTTGATCCCGATGCGGACCGTGACCGGCTGGAGAGTCTGCATCGATTACCGGCGCCTGAACGACGCCACCAGGAAAGATCATTTTCCCCTACCTTTCATTGATCAGATGCTGGAGAGGTTGGCGGGCCATGAGTTCTATTGCTTCCTGGATGGCATGTCTGGGTACTTCCAGATTCCTATTGCACCGGAGGATCAGGAGAAGACCACATTCACTTGCCCCTTCGGCACTTTTGCTTACCGAAGGATTCCATTTGGGCTGTGTAACGCGCCGGCGACCTTCCAGAGATGCATGCTGGCTATCTTCGACCGCCTGGTTGGAGAGATCATGGAAGTCTTCATGGATGATTTCTCGGTATATGGAGACTCCTTCACTCACTGTCTCCATAACCTGGAACTCGTTCTGAAGAGGTGCGAGGAGACTAATCTGGCACTCAGCTGGGAGAAGTGCCATTTCATGGTTCGTGAGGGCATCGTGCTCGGGCACAAGATCTCCAAGGAGGGGATTGAGGTAGATCGCGCGAAGATTGAGACGATCAGTCAGCTACCTCCTCCCGTTTCTGTGAAGGGGATTCGCAGCTTTCTGGGTCATGCAGGCTTTTACCGGCGCTTCATCAAAGATTTCTCGAAGATTGCCCTGCCATTGACCAAGCTGCTGGAGAAGGATGCGCCATTCCAGTTCACTCCCGAGTGCACAGCTGCATTTGAGACTCTGAAGGAGAAGCTTACCCGTGCCCCTATCATGGTAACTCCTGACTGGTCTCTCCCTTTTGAGCTGATGTGCGATGCGAGTGACTATGCAGTCGGAGCAGTTCTGGGTCAGAGACGCGAGAAGCACTTCCAGCCCATCTACTACGCGTCGAAGACCTTGAACGATGCACAGGAGAACTACACCACCACTGAGAAGGAGCTCCTCGCTGTGGTGTATGCGTTTGACAAGTTCCGGCCATACCTGGTGCTCTCACATGTGGTGGTCTACACAGATCACTCGGCGATTCGCTACTTGATGAGCAAGGCTGATGCAAAGCCTCGGCTCATCCGCTGGATCCTGCTTCTGCAGGAATTCGACATCGAGATCCGGGACAAGAAAGGAGCCGAAAATGTTGCTGCAGATCATCTTTCACGATTGGAAGCCTCTCCGGTGGACAACTTCGTGGAGGAGATCGACGACTCTTTCCCGGGTGAGCGATTGCTGGCGATGACACTGGTGGACAGCGTGACCCCTTGGTATTCCGACTTTGCCAATTATCTGGTGGGCAAGCAGTTACCCAAGGGGATGGCTACACATGCAAAGCGCAAGTTCTTCTCCGATCTGAAGCACTACTTCTGGGAGGATCCTTTCCTCTTCAGAATCGGAGCAGATGGCGTGATCCGGCGCTGTGTCATGGAGCACGAGATGGGAGACATCCTGTCTCAATGCCACGAGGGACCTACTGGAGGTCACCATGGAGGAAACCGCACGGCGCGGAAGGTGCTACAGTCGGGCTTTTATTGGCCCTCGCTCTTCCAGGATGCAGACTCCTTCGCACGCCAGTGCGACCGCTGCCAGAGGTCAGGTAACATTTCGTCCCGGGATGAGATGCCCCAACATATCTCTGTTATCTGTGAAATTTTTGATGTTTGGGGTATCGATTTCATGGGCCCATTCCCTCCATCTTTTGGCAATCTGTACATTTTGGTTGCAGTAGACTACGTCTCGAGGTGGGCAGAAGCTCAGGCCATGCCCACCAATGATGCAAGACGGGTCTGCTCATTTCTGAAGCAGCTGTTCTCCCGGTTCGGGACACCCCGCGCCATCATTAGTGATAGAGGAACCCATTTTCAAGGGCAATTCACTAAACTCCTCTCTCGCTATGGTGTTAAGCATCAGGTGTCGGTGGCCTACCATCCCCAGTCAAATGGGCAGGCCGAGCTGACGAACCGGGAGCTTAAACGAATTATTGAAAAGACGGTGGACCAGTCTCGCAAGGATTGGTCCACCAAGCTCGATGATGCTCTTTGGGCGTATAGGACTGCCTATAAAAATCCGATTGGCACTTCTCCCTATAGGCTTGTCTATGGGAAGGCGTGCCATTTGCCGGTAGAGCTAGAGCACAAGGCCTTCTGGGCCATTAAGCTGCTAAACATGGATTTGAGTGTTGCAGGTACAGAACGTAAGTTGCAGCTGCTGGAGTTGGAGGAGTGGCGTTACCACGCCTACGAGAACACCCTGCTCTACAAGGAGCGCACCAAGCGTCTCCATGACGCTCGGTTGAGGGGCCCGAAAGAGTTTCAGGTAGGTGATCGTGTTCTGCTTTTCAATGCACGCCTGAAACTCTTCCCGGGTAAGCTCCGTTCGAGGTGGTCGGGTCCCTTCACGGTCACCCAAGTTTTCCCGCACGGTGCAGTGGAGATCAGCAATGCTCAAACCGAGCCATTCAAGGTGAATGGCCACCTCCTAAAGTTGTATTTGGGAGGTGCTGTCGAGCGCGCAGAGCTGCTGATCAAGCTCGAGGACCCTTAGTTCCTCTACTGGCGTCCAGCTAAAAGACGGTAAAGAAGCGCTTGTGGGGAGGCAACCCCACCGAGGTTTGCATTTTCTTACTCTTTTTCCTTTGATTTTGTGTGTTTTTGAGTCTTGAGACGTTGATCCAGAGTTACGTGTCGTTTTTGAGCGAAAACAGGTTGATTTCGGGACTCCAACAAGTCGCACGGCCAGGACCACAACATGCACGGCCGTGCGGGAACCCCCCTGGCCGTGCGAGCTCTCGGCCAAAAGCGCACGGCCAAAAGCGCTTATTGCACGGCCGTGCGCTCGTCCTGGCCTGACCGTGCGTCTTGCACGGGCACAATAATGCCTCGCACGGCCGTGCGGGTATTCCCCCTTGGCCGTGCGAGCTCTCGGTAAGGATGGCACGGCCATATGTGCCAGGTGCACGGTCGTGCGCTTCTCCTCGGCCAGGCCGTGTCGGCTGCACGGGCAAAAACCAGCCATGCACGGCCGTGCGCCCCTGCCCGTGCAGCCGAGGCACGGCCTATTTATATGGCCTGCACGGTCATTGTGGTCAGAAAACCAAAACCACTCGCCGGAATCCTCTGCCCTCGCCAGAAAACCGCGCAAAACCCACCTTTTTTCGATTTTTTCGGCCACTTTGGGTAATTTTTTCACCAAACCAACTACAAACCCACTCTTTCTACACCCAAAGCGGCCTATCCCTCGATTTTGAGCGAGTTTGGGCGACGTTTTCGTCGCCGGAGGCGATTTCCGGCGAGACTCCGGCGAGACTCCGACGAGCATTTCCGGCCAGTTTTTCAGCGTTTCGTCACTTCCATTGTCTTCCCCTCATCATTCCCTACACCTCTACTTGAGTCTCCAGGTTTGATTTTGCCCTTAACTATGTTAATTGTGGAGAATTGAGTGTGTAGGGTGTATGTTAGAGAACCTTATTGAATCATGTGAATCTTATGAAATTGATTGAGGGGAATGCATGGGATGTGATTGAATTATGTTGGGCAAAGTCCCCTTTGATTGTTTAAGCCCTTGTGTGCAAGAATTTGGCCAATTTCATGTTTAACTTAGTAGTGCACACAAGGTGTTCGCTGAAATGCCTGTTTTCCATGCCCGGTTGTGGCCACCGGTTGGGGCCCTTAATGATGTAGTTTGAGGGTGTATTTGCTATGGATGTGAACCTTGAGTTGCCTATTTTCTTGTGCATGTGCACCCCCACCCTGATTCTGCTTGATTTATCGAGATTTTGACCCCCGAACTATGGATGAAACCATGGTTAGGCTGTTTTCTGTTCTTAAGTGTGGGGGTGCGCTTGACCTTTTTCTTTGGCTCTTTTGGGTTCCACTTTGGGTTGTTGTTTTGCAGGGCAATGACGAAACCTAATTTCCAGCACCCGTTCATCCGGGATCTGAGGAGGGGACCCACCGCAGAGCGCTTCAAGGAGGTCGCGGAAACCCCGTTTGGGTCACACCATTGCTGGTCCAAACGGGAGTTTCGGCGATTGCACTGCTACGAGCAGCTCTCCGCCGCGGTCGCCAACACCGCCTGGCGCCGTCTGCTCCAGCTCTGCGAGAAGGTCTACTACGAGCCGGTGTGGGAGTTCTACACGACCTTCAAGCACAATACCACGGACAACTGGCAGGACGGTACGGCCGTCCAATTCAGGCTAGGCGGGGTCCCCCGGTCCTTGAGCTACCACGAGCTGGCCGAGGCTCTCGACCTCGACCTCGACGACCGTGAGGACTACGTCACCGAGGTGAATGAGCCACCGGCGGTGGACTTCGGGAGGCTGTACACCAGCCTGGCTCGGCCAGGCCAGACGCGTCCCTTCCGGTCAGGGAGGACGAAGGCCTCTACCCTGCAGATCGACAACCGACTTCTCCACCACCTGCTGGTGAAGTCTTACACTCCTGCAGCTGACAGCGCCGGCGCCATCACGAAGAGGTCCCTGTACTTCCTCCATTCGATCCGCCAGCGCCGCCATCCTCTCCACCTGGGTTCAGTGGTGGCCAAGACCTTCGAGAAGACGGCCACAGAGCTGAAGAGCCTCCACTGCGCCCCCCTCATCACCCGCCTGGCCACCTTCTTTGGCCTTTCACTGCAGGGGTGCACCGAGGAGGGGGACACCCTCATCTTTGGCCGCACGACGATCGGGAAGATGCTGCTGTTGCGGGAGAGGAACGGTGTTCAATGGGTCGATGGGTTTCCGGAGCCTCCGATCCCCGCGGAGCCCGTACCAGAGGAGGAGGAGGCTGCCGATGAGGTGGATCCCGAGGAGGTGGATGCTGCTGCTGATGCTGCTGATAATCCCCCACAGACTGACTTCCATTTCGGGGGTAGCAGCTCCAGTTTCCCGGGGCAGGATTACTTCACTTCCCAGTTCGAGCAGCTGCGTCTCCAGAACCAGCAGATCATCGACCATCAGCTGCAGTTCCAGCAGCAGTACGCGGCTCACCAGGCCGAGTACCACCAGAGGATGGCGAGTTACGACGAGAGATTGGACTAGCTCCAGACCCAGCAGGGCGTGGCCCTTGCCCACATCGAGCGGGAGAAGCGCCGCTCCCGGCGCATGCAGGAGGTCCAGCAGCACCTGCTCCAGCTGCTCCCGGGTGAGCCACCTGTCTGGAGGACTCCCTGGGATGACTCCCCTCCACAGGATGGTGCTACTGGCGCTGCGGATGATGACGCGTTCATGAACGACATCGACCTCGACGATCTTGGCGACGAGTAGGCTGTACTCGTTGCCCGTCTCAGTGTGTTTTCTTTTTCATTTTAGACTTTTGTGTGTTTGCTCCATGTGTGCGGAGCTTGAACTTAGTGTCGTTTGTTTTTGGTTTTTCCTTTGTGGTTTGATGTAGCCGTCTGGGCTAACACTTATCCCTAACGCACAGTGTGCTAGTGTGTTTCTGATGTTCGATTTGTGCAGCATTGTCCACTCTCCCGTTCGTTTCTCGCTGACTGGTCCACTTCCAGTCCCCCAGCAGTGTTCCTACCCGGTAACATCGTTCCCCTTATCTTTCTCTCTGCTCCATTGAGGGCAATGTCGTTCTTAAGTGTGGGGGGATGCTTTGTATCGGTTGGAATATTTATGATGGTGCTTGGAGCCTAGTCCGCTGTCCGAATCTTACGATTTGAGGGCTCCAAGTACTGCTGTTTGATCATATTGGCACTGTGTTTTGATGGATGAATTGATTGGTTTTCGGATTAATGCATGACAACTTGTTTGCGACTAGGACAACCTATGATGAGGACTGAGATGTGCAGTAGAACGATGTAGGGGTTCAGTTTTTCAACTGTTTGCTTGCCAACTGTGACTTGATCTGACTTGATCTGATTACTTGTTCTTAACAGTCGTTTATGCATCTAGTTCAGGGTAGCAGAATATGAGATAGAGCATATAGGTAGCCATGTGAGATTTGAGCCTGCTCGTTTCTTTCTTGTGCGATAGATCCCTCTTCCATGATGTGTAGCATTCACGTTGTCACTAGCTAAGATGATGGGGGCATAGGATTAGCCCACGCCCAAAACTGACTGTCCTGATGTGTCATATCCCCTAGTCAGCCCCTTTGAGCCGTGTGTTATCCTTTCTTTTGGTCTATAATGAAAAGAAATCACCCTTGTTGCATCTTTTAGAAGGTTCCACAGAGTGGTTTTTATATATTCTCTGCTGTTTCTGCTAAAGTCTATGTGAGTGTTGGAGGTAGTGCTTAAAAGTTGGGCGGATGTTTGAAATATGTGCAGGAGTGGTGGCTCTCTTAAGAAATGAAAAGAAAATGAAAGAGAAACAAAGAGAAATTGAAAGTAAAAGAGAGCCACTACCAAAAATCTGAATAATGCCCAGTAAGTAGTGTTTCTTAGCAGTCTGGCTTGGAAATGCTGATGTTTATGCCTCCTTCGCTCTTGTGCTCTTAAGATATTGAGTAATGCGGGATAGCAGAAAGAAAATACCGGGTTGCTGACTGTGTTTGTGTGTTCGGGAAATGTGGAACCTTTTGCTATGAATACTTCCACCACCTAAAAGGCCTTTTCCCCATGTCCAAGACCCTAGCCAGTCATTTGAACCTGTGTCTAAGACCTCCTGATTAGTTAGTGGTGACACCCCATATGTGAACTCTAGCATTTAGAGGCTGCCATCATGGTGAAGAGATGATAGGGATTGAGAGAAATAGCATGCGCATCTTTCGCATCAAATTGTCCTGACCCCACTGGTCGAGAGTGAGTGATTCATGTTCATTTTCTATATGCTCTTGTACCCCGGTGAGGACCTAGATTGCTCGGTCTCTATTCTGATGTCTTGAGTTGGATGCATGAGTTGACTGTTTTGAGTAAGTGGTTGAATCAAGTCTAGGTTGGCCAGTGAACAGACGGGAGACTCTTCCTTTACTCGATTTGCTGCACTCGAATGTCCTTTGTGGTGGTTGTCCAGGTTGTTGTTGAGGTTGTGCATGTATTGATGTTTGAAAACCAGTGCGATTCACGTGTTCTGTGCCTTTATGACTTGTCCCCAATGTTGGTTGATTGAAATATGTAAGCTTACCTAGTGTCTGACTTGGTTTGCTTGGGGACAAGCAAACGGTTAAGTGTGGGGGAGTTTGATAGACCGTTATTTACACATGTTTTTACCCCTGTTCTTACACCGTTTGAGATGTGATTTCTCGTGTTTTAGGCCGATTTCACGCTAGGTTGTGCTTGTTTGTCATATTTCAGGTCCTAGTACGTGAATGAAGGCTTAGGAGCGATTCTGGGGTCGATTGGACGAAGAACAGACGAATGGCGAGGTTTTTGGGAGCTGCACGGGCAGACCAGAGGGGCTGCACGGCCGTGCACGGTTGCAATCTGGCCGTGCGCCTCATGCCGAGGAGCTGCACGGGCAGGCCCTGAAGATTGCACGGCCGTGCACCTGGCCGTGCAAGAAGCCTGAGTTCAATTAAGGGATACGCTGCGTTTCATGGTGCACGGCCAGACTGGTGAAGTGCACGGCCGTGCACCCTGGCCGTGCAACTCGGGAAACCCGGTTTTAAAGCCTAATCCGAGCCAGAAGTGAGAGGAGAGTGTTTTCAGAGCAAAAACAGAGCCCTAGAGAGAGAAAGTACGAAGAACACATCCTAGAAGCTGTCTTAGAGCTGGATTTCATCGAATCGAGCCTGGAGATCGTCATAGGAGTGAAAATCATCGTCCCGGAGCAGATTATCCTCATCGTTATGAGTATGACTAATCCGATTCCTGTTTTCTCTTCTCTCTCTATGGAGTAGAACCCTTCTCTCACTTGGGGATGAAGAACCCTAGTTCTATGTGTTAGGGGATTGATTGTAATGACTTGGGATGATACTACTGTTTGATTTTAATCGAATGATGCATGTTTCATGAATTGATTTGAGTCTGATCAGCTTGTCTCAATTTCTGCTTCAACCTGAGATAGATAGAATCTGATTAGGTTGTTAGAGCCTCTTCATTCGATAGTAGGAGGTTGGCTATACGAGAGTTAGCCAGTTTACTGCTTTGTACTGGTGTTCTTGGCGCCAGTAGTGGAGTTCTGTGTTCATAGCCTCAGCTTTCTATCCCGGTGAAGACTAGTCGTCTGCCGGGTAGTTAGACTGAGAGGGCTCGGTCAGCTTAAGAGATTCCAAGCTACTGTCGGATCTTCCGCAGTCTAATCAACAGTAAATCAACCCAGGGTAAATTGCAATTGAAACCTAACTAAAGAGCTAGGGGGATTCATTCCCGAGTGACTCTTTCCTGCTTAAGAAAACCGAATAATTTCCTGCTTTATTTCTGCTTTTAGTTTAAACAACAATCACTTACTCTAGTTGGCTAGATAACAGAGAATCACTGAGTAAGCAGTAGATCTAGACCCCGGGTTGATAATATAACTTGCCTGTTACTGCATTCCCGGTCTGCGATTACACTTGGTCGCAGATTGGTGTTGTGTTTTGGCGTGTCACACCCTAAGGGTGCATTTTAGAAATAGACCGCACCAGTAAGGTGCGTTCCAATTTTTTGGACTCAAATTGCATTTTGGCCAAGCGGTTTTAGGTCTGACCTACCGAAACCGCTTGGCCGAGGTGGGGTTTTAGGTCTGACCTATTAAAACCGCATCATAAAGATGCGGTTTGTTTCTCCTAGATAAAACCGCATCCTAACAGTGCGATTTTGCCATACAAACCGCACCTTGAAGGTGCGGTTTTGGTCAATCAATTTCCGACATGCCATGCAGACATAGCAGACGTGGGTCTGCATGGGCCTGCATGGCAGACAAAAACCGCACCTCTAAGGTGCGGTTTTTATCAGTGATTTTGCCTATAAAAGGCCTCTCAGACAACCACTTCTCTTCACACCTCTCCCTCTCCCTTTAAGCGGTTTCTGTTGTAGCTCTATATTTCTTTAGTAGTTTTGCGGTTAATGTTAACTCGTAAGTTGATTTAGTATTACTTTTTATTGTTATTTTGTATTTTGTATTTTTATGATATTAACTAAACTACGGTTTTATCGCAGATGGCATTCCAAAAGTTCACGCTTGACTTACGGTGGAATGATTACACGGAAGAGACCGGAAAGGGGGTCACCTACGTAGGTGGCAATTTTCAGAAGATAAAGGTCGCTACCAGACCGCTGCTTGAAGACCTCCATCAAATGTGCACTAACATTACTTGCATGGATGGCACGAGAAGAGTTGATCGTATGGTACCGATATCCAAACAGAGAAAGTGGGTCATTGTGGCATGAGGAATATCTCATAACCACTCAGGATGAGGTAGACGCCATGCTCGAATTCATGAGGTCCAACAATCTTTCCAAAGCCGAGATGTTCGTTTACACCGAGCCGGTCGTAGGCGTTGGAGGTCATTCTGGACACGGTCAAACATCTGGTATCCATGGTGGAGGTGAATTATATGGCGATCATCCCTACCAAAGTTACCATGATCCTCATTCATATTTTCAGTACCAAGAGCAAGGTGAAGGTCATTATCAATCATATGAAGAAGAAGTTCAACCGGACCTCCCCAACTAACCTCGGTACAACTTCCACTCAGGCAGCGGTAGTTTTCACAACTACCATTATGGAGCTGATGAAGGTGCCTTTCATGAGCTGGATCAGATGGAGGATGTCATGCCAGCACCAGTCAGTGAACCCTCCGATGAAGAAGGAGAGAACAACGTCAGTGCAGACAGCTCCGACCCTCTTAAAGGTGTCGATGATTCAGGACCAGAGTCAGACTCAGCTAATGATGATGAGGGGGCTCGTGACCGTGTACCAGTCCCCTACTACAATCACATTCCAGACGACAATTGGATGGTCGACAGCGACATGGAGCCGCCAGAGGTCCCAATATGGGGTCCACTCACTGGGTTTATGAAGGGCCAACAATTTGGCTCGAAGAAGGAGGTGCGTCACGCCATTGAGACAAAATCAATGACTCGACATTTTGAATGGCACACAACTCATTCCAACACTAAAAGGCTCATAGTCAGATGCCGTAATCATCACGAGGGGTGCAATGTTAGGATTCGGGCCATCAACAGCAAGAGACACGGCCAATGGGTCATATCCCGTGCGGTGAACACACACACACATGTGTGTCATCCATAACTTCCCAAGGCCATCGACAGTTGAAATCCAGGGTGGTTGCTGCGGCTATCAAGCATCTAATTGAGCAAGAGCCGGACCTAAAGGTGAAAGTCATAATCGCTGACATTGCAAGTCGTTATGGTTAAATGATTAACTATAAGAAGGCGTGGCATGGAAAGCAGAAAGCTCTGGCTGCCGTCTTTGGTGATTGAGAAGAATCATATGCATTCATTCCCAGGTTAATTTTGGCATTGGAGGCATCTAACCCTGGCACGGTTTTCTCCCCTCGATACCAAGATGAAGAGATACAACCCGCGGAGCCAGGTAACAAGCGCCATTTCAGACGAATTTTTTGGCCCAAAATTGGACGATGACATTGCGCCGCCGACCTCCCTCACAGCTTTTAGAGAGGCATTGCACAAGTTGTGGTAGATATTAGCTAGGCAAGCGGATGCCCAACTATACTCCCCCATCTCCTCCCAACTACCGAGGATGATCCTAAGTCATCCACAACTGAGGAGATTGCTTGATTTTTTGGAGAAGAACACTCCTCCGATCATGCCAATGAGATAGACCCGAGCATATCTCTCCTTCTCATCCTCCAGACTTTCCTCGGTTAGGGATGACTCTCGTAATGGTCTCTAAAGTACTTCGTCAACCAAGTAATTGAGACTTGGTGTTTCCTCATTGGTGGCATGCGATCGGTCGCATCAACGCACCCCTTCACTGGTACTTTGACTCCCAAAACACTGTAGATGAAATGAACCCAACCGGGCATACCGTCACAATCCTCGGGGGGATGATCACTCACGTACACCGGTTTGCCGTCGATGGGGAGATGGGTTAGGATGGCGACATCCTTTAGCGTGATGGTGGCCTCGCCTTCTCTAAAGTTGAAACAATGGGTCTCCTTTCTCCATCTCTCAACTAATGTAGTGATGAGTTGACGATCAACTTTGATGCCGTTAAAATGCCTAATCGGGTCCAACCGTGCCCTTTTGAGAAAGGGCAAGATAGCTGGGTGGAAGGGGAGCACATTGGTCGTACCCCTGTAGCGGATTATTGTTTGTGCCTCCTAGGGTAAATTTACACGTTAATTATTATATATTAGTAAGGGTTTATTCCTTATAACTAAATTAATTAAATTAAATTATTTAACTTCAAGCAGAATTTTATTATCATAAAAAGACATGTCATATAATTAACATAATAGCATTCTAAATTAATAATAATTTAAAGAGATACATACATATTATCATAAAACAAACATCCTAAATTAATTAACATAATAACATTCTAAATGAATAATAATTTAAAGAGATACATACATATTGTCATAAAACAAACATCCTAAATTAATTAACATAATAACATTCTAAATGAATAATAATTTAAAGAGGTACATACATATTATCGTAAAATAAACATACTAAATTAACTAAATTAAATGACATTGTTAATGAATCATAATTTAAAGAGAAACATACATATTCAAATGTTTGAAATTAATACAATTTCTTTTGTACACATCAAAATAAATCGTAAGGGTTGTTTGGTAAATAATTTAATCGTGTTGGTTTTTTTAAATAATTTAATCGAATACAAAGCAACACTCGTTAGACTCTTAGAAGAGGTATACATCTTCTTAGAAACGCAGTCTTTTTGACAGAAAAAGGGGGGGATCTGAGGATCTCTTAATACCCGATTTTCCCAGGGAATGGGAGGATATGATAATCGCTTAAAATCCCATTTCCTTAGACGTGCATCTCTTTATAAAGAGTCGAAGTAAGTGGCGCTATGTATTCGATTAAATTATTGAAAACAACCAACACGATTACAAATTCAACATAAATTTATTTCAATGTATCCACTAAATACATTAACAAAATAAAAGAAGGACAAATGGTAAAGAATTGTATGTACCGGGTGAGCGTTCCAAACATCCCTTGACCGATGGTTGAGTTGGTCGTACAAGTCGGTTGGATCCAACGGTCCTTGCTCGAGATAATACCGTTGGTTGTATATATCCACGTCCACCCCAACCTACGAGAAGATAACAACGAGGTTAGTACATAGATTAATTAAAAAGCTTATAACAACAACAAAAATTAAACAAATATATTGAGTACGTACCGCTTGAAATTCATCAACATAAACTCCTTCTCCTTGCCACCAATCGGCCATTTTTTCGGCGCAATTCGGACAGAGCTTCAGCTCGGCGGGTTTTGAGGAAAAAACCTAAGAAATGTTTTCTGAAGGCAGATCAGACTTAGCCGCAACCAACATACCACTATTTCCTAGGCTTTTGGGAGGGGGAGGGTTTAGAGAGATAAATTGTAGAGAGAGAAGGAAGAATGGGTCGTGGTGTGAAGAAATGAGAGGGGGTGGTAGGGTATTTATACCCATCAGACCGCACCCTCCCGATGCGTTTTGCGCTTCCCTAGGGTTGACCGCATTCTACGCGTGCGATCTGTTATCCTCGGCGCGGATCGCTCCGCTGGCAAGCGTTCAGCCGCCCGATCGTCCCTCCATCCAACGGTTTTGAAGACCATTCCGCAGCAGCATTAAATCGCACCCTTCCGGTGCGTTTTGTAATCTGGAACGCACCCCTCTAATGCGTTTTATAAGTAGAACGCATCCTTCCGGTGCGTTTTACTTATAAAACGCATCTTAGGGATGCGTTCCAAAAAAATTGGTGCTATTAGTGTAAAATTTTTCGGATGGGTGCTATTTTTGTAATTTTTTTTAAAGGTGCTATTATTGGAAAATCCCCACAGTCACGCTTATACAAGCCATTTACCATATCATAAGCACTACCAATCAAACCGCCCACAAAAATCCCACAAACGATACCAAAAGCATCACCAAACACACCACATTCTTCCCAAAACAAACCACAGGAAAAAAAGAGACAATCAACCAAAACACTTAAAAACCAAACCACAAAACTTCTTGAACGCACCAAAACACCTCCAATGCACACCATTAAAACCTAAATCGTTACATTCCGCAATCTGTTTGTAAAAAAAATCACACTGTAATGCAAACCATAAATGTCATAAAAGCATCATGAATAACTACAATGCAAACCACTTTTCACTTTTCTAGCAAATATCATCGCAAGATGAAATGATCAAACCGCCCACAAAAATCCCACAAACGATACCAAAAGCATCGCCAAACACACCACATTCTTCCCAAAACAAACCACAGGAAAAAAAAGAGACAATCAACAAAAACACTTAAAAACCAAACCTCAAAACTTCTTAAATGCACCAAAATACCTTCAATACACACCATTAAAACCTAAATCGTTACATTCCGCAATCTGTTTGTAAAAAAAATCATACACTGTAATGCAAACCATAAATGTCATAAAAGCATCATGAATAACTACAATGCAAACCACTTTTCACTTTTCTAGTAAATATTATCGCAAGATGAAATGATCAAGTGCTCATTTCTTTCATCATTGCTTACAGGTGTGACATCAAACAGGTCCGAGTCGGACTACACTAGTTTGGGGTTGGCATTCAAAACCATTGAGGAAACAAAACAATTCTACAAGAACTATG